CAGATTAATGTTATCGTCCATATACAAATGATCGACTGGCTAACATTGAGGAGACGGCGCAGCTCACGGTCATCCGGAAATTCTACCTGTTCCTTTACGCAGTACTGCTTCAGCGTGGTCAGTCGGAATTTGCCCCGTTCGGATACAAGATCGACGATGATGCGGCATACCTAAACGAATTTGTGAGCAGGTCATCTGCTTGAGGTCGTAGCTCAAACTCCGTACTTCTGGCCAATTCTTGGTGTTGCGGAAAATGAAAATTGGCTCTGTCGACTGCGAACGCTTAAATAAACTGATCACAGTTGTATGAATTACGCAATACTTACTTTTTTAGTGATATACACCCGCGCGCCTAAGGCAACCGCACACTGTTCAATTAAATAATCGGTTACTCCGGAACTTAACACATCTCGTGGCGGAGAGTCAACCAGTTTCAACAACAAAAACCGTTTGATGTCTGAGAGGGAAAGCACGAATCGACCGGTGGTGAGACCCGTGAGAAAATTCTTCAGTTCAGACATAACCTCGGTATCTCGGTCATTCTCTTCGTCCAAAGGTTCCGACTTTGGTGTCCGTCCCAAAGGAAGGGAAGACTGTTCACGAGCTTCGGTGGAGGTACCACTGACAAGTGCTGTCGAAGTACTGGCGTCAATATTCGATGGCGGGGAAGCTTCGACCTTCGCTTCTTTCTTCCCCGTCTTTCGCCGCATAGGAACCTTTTCCTTTTCAGCGAAACTATCCTGATTTGATTCTTCTCCATTCCTATCCGAAGACTGTGATTTTGATAACGAGCGAACTCTGGCACGAACGGGAGGGCCTGATGAAAATGAAATATAATACATAATACACGTCAATACAATATGCCATATAATTGTCATAAAAATTTCCAAACTTAAATTCTAATTTTATATTCAGTCATTCTGTATTGCCCATTACTAATTGATAGTTAAAATAATACGAACACAGGAATACAGCGTCACAACGACAATATGATGTCATTAACGCCGAAAACAAGGGGCTTCCCAAAATAAAGAAAGTCTGCAATGTTCCTTTTGACTGCTTATATGTTATGTTTATTCGAACTTATATTTTTGACAAATTCTGTGGCAGATAAGTAACCATGATAAAGTAGCACTGATCTGACCATTATTCAGATATCATTCGTACTAAGAGTTTCA